TTTTAACTTCACTATATCATTTAGAGTTCATAGAGCCAGGTATTTAATCTCCTGTATTGACTATAAAATTCTTATCAAAGAAAGTAAATATCAGATATGCAATAACTTATTCATTAAAGTTAGTAATTGATATTTAWTAAACAATAGAGTGTTTTCATTTTTCAAAAAGAAAATAAACAACAGACATTAACTTAATAAAAATACTCCTGTGAAAAGCTATCAGTAAGTTCTGAATTGGTAGCCATGCATTACTAGATATCGTGAACAAGCTAAGTCAACAAGACAATTGTTAGTAGTACTCATTGGTATGACCAAAATATAGCCAGTAAAATAAAACCTGCTGAGGATTATTCAAACCTGTGAACATAAAGTACATGTATATGTTTGTTAGACTGTTTTTTAAAAGGCAATTTTTTTGTTACCACAAAGCAAACTTGTGTTTTTCTTTCTTTGTGTTTGGAAATGGCAGCAAAATGAATTGACTTGATCACTTTTATTGTATTGCCTTTAACTGCATTATATTTATTTTTAATTTATTTCTTCATTTTTTTCGAACTTACATGTAAGACCTTCAGATGCAAGTACCTTCCTCAAGAATAATTTGACAGCATAATTTACACACATTTTGATAGACTATATAGAGTTACTCGTCAAAACACTTCTCTGTCCTAGTCAACACATATACTCCAGCATGCAGCCCTCCCATGTTAATCCACAAAGTCATTTTTGTTTTCCACCACTCAGAACACTGCTGCAAAGTCTTTTTCATGACTTTCTTGTCATGAGTGAGAATGACAGTGYGTCCTGTTTTAGGTTGACAGACTCTTGCCATTTCTCTCAAAGCCTTTGGATAAAGAGTCCAGTTACGTTGTTGAGAGCCGCTCTTCTTTCCGAATGGCATGTCTGTGATRATGGCGTTGATGCTGTTTGTTCGTAGTGGTAGATTGRTAACATCCCATTGGAAGACATCAAGGGGTAAAGACCTTAAAATACAATGTGATTTTTKTWATYCCGGGTGGGGAGGGGCATTTTTTGCAACAAGTTCTGTAAATACATACCTATTTTCCTCTTTACAAACTGATGTGAGATTTGCTGAAGTTCGCGGTGGAGCCATATCATGGAAGTCCCCACACAGATGAGCAGATAATGGCCATCCWAGCACTCCCTCTATTGGAATGGAYCCTCCACCACACATAGGGTCACACACAACATCTCCTAAGAWTAAATAGTATCTTTATTAGCTGTTTAGTGTAGGTTTATTAGTTTTCACTAAAACAAGAGGAAAAATGCTAGAGTGCACGCCACATAAGCATGAAACAATTCTTAACTAATTAACGCCTAATAAGATTTTGTTATCAACTGCCTAAGAATTCAGTGAGGTATAAACAAAGAATTCAGTGAGGTATAAACAAAGAAAATTTTCTTTTTGGCATTGTGTTCATGGGCCAGTGAATACTTAGTTAGTTGATAACTAAATCTTATTAGATGTTGATAGTTAAGAATTGTTTCACGCTTTTTTGGCGTGCACTCTATTCAACAGCTAGTATGCAATAACAGAGAAATGTTGCGTGGACATTATCTTTTCAAGCTAATATTTGGGCATCCAATGTCAAAGAGACGAGACATCCATTATATCAATATTATGACTACTTTTAGGGTTGAAATATAATCACTTGTATGACCACTGGTGCTTTAAAGGTTAMATATACAGCAAGCATYRCCACCTAGMCTTTCATAACAAGAGTTTTCCAAGGCTCCCATTTTCAAATAGTGTGTCTTACCAGGACCAATGTCAGCCAGATGCAAAAGATTGTAAGCTAAAGAAGACTTCAATGTTGTAGGTCCAAAATGCTGGATGTTRCGCTTTCCAAGGGATTTCCTTGTAAGTGCCAGACCAACAACAACATCATTATCCACAATATACATCAATACTTCTATGTCTGAATTGGAAAGATCCACACGCCAGTGAAACAAATCATTTATACCACCTCCAAACTTGGCYGCTGCCTCCATTGATGAGAACTGATGGCCGGCCCCTGATCGTGATGCCGTCACACGAAAACTTGGAGTGGTGCTGATTTTTGTAGTATCAATCTTTGGCTTTTTGGGATTGTTGGATGATTGCTGATTCGCCCTATCATCATCATCATCATCATCACCAACATGTTGGGTTGATTCCTGATTCAAAAGACTTCCCTCGTATCCCGTGAATTCCTGCCATATTGATAGAGACTTTTCCCAGTCTAGTTCACTAGAAAGCTGATAAAACCGTTTAAGTGTGTCGTCCTTGTCTTCGCTGGTTTCTGAAATTTTAAAATCCTCGAGTTCTTTCACAACTAGAAACAAATTTTCTACTGAGCGCAAGGCTTTGGTTTTGTGGATTTTCTCAACGGGAATATCAAAAAAWACTTTTCCTCTTTTCCTGATGGGATTGCATTGCAGTTTTTGTTTGCATTCAGAGACAGTAACAGACTCAAAGCCTGTGATAACGGTTGCACAAAAAGTGCACATGGAACAGTCCGCCATATTGTTAAGTGCTGTTCGAAAATTTCCGACCGACTTCCGACATTCTCACGAGTAGGTTGCAAGTAACGCCTTGCAGTTCWTCGTACACAGGAAACCCAAGTACTAAGATAAAGGACTTCGTTAATCGTCATGCCTAAAAAGTGTCTTGGCCAAGATCAACAATCAACATGTATACTCTGTCACAGTCTGCTTGTCTTTTGGTATTCTCACTGCGAGAATGCCAAAAGCCTTTCCAAATCCCAAGCAGGAAACTGTGATGTCTATGTGGATTACATGGATCCCGCTTCCCACATATTTTGGGCAAATCTGTTGTTCACATCTTTTGATCATTTTTTGTTTGTTTGTTTATGTTATGTTGTTATTCATTTTTGCTTTTTCGTTGTGCTTTTTTCTCCTTACTTGTAATTTTTGATAAAGTAATTTTTTAAGAAATATAAAATGGCGCGCATGTCTCTGTCCTCTGATATAAACACGGTGGGAGTTCGAAAAACACGAGAGAAGCAAGCTTAGGAACACGAGCGTAGCGAGTTCGAAAAACACGAGAGAAGCAAGCTTAGGAACACGAGCATAGCGAGTGTTACTCTTGCTTCTCGAGTGTTTTTCAACTCCCAACGTGTTTATATCAGAGGACAGAGACACAAGCGGCCGTTTTATATTCTTTTATAAAATTTTTCGAGCGAAAAGAAAAATTTTGCCGGTAAGCTGTGTCTCTGTCCTCTGATATAAACACGGTCGTCAGCCAATCAGAGCGCGCGTTATATATCAAAAATTTTATAATAATAAATATAAAACAAGTTCAGTCTAACTGCCACATAACTTTATTATTATCCTACTGAGAAGACATCAAACTTAAATTGATTCATTTGAAGATTTCTCCGTCTTCAAGCTTTTTGCCATCGTAGGACAAATTCTCATCCCATAGGAGATAATCATTGATCTTCTTTTTGTCTTCCTCGTTGTTGATGTCCAATTTTGTCCATTTGTAAGACGGAGCGTCAATGTTCCAGCTGTCATTTAACTAAACAAAAATGAATTTATATGTTAGTATCTAATAATTATTTATANCAGTCTGCTTGTCTTTTGGTATTCTCACTGCGAGAATGCCAAAAGCCTTTCCAAATCCCAAGCAGGAAACTGTGATGTCTATGTGGATTACATGGATCCCGCTTCCCACATATTTTGGGCAAATCTGTTGTTCACATCTTTTGATCATTTTTTGTTTGTTTGTTTATGTTATGTTGTTATTCATTTTTGCTTTTTCGTTGTGCTTTTTTCTCCTTACTTGTAATTTTTGATAAAGTAATTTTTTAAGAAATATAAAATGGCGCGCATGTCTCTGTCCTCTGATATAAACACGGTGGGAGTTCGAAAAACACGAGAGAAGCAAGCTTAGGAACACGAGCATAGCGAGTGTTACTCTTGCTTCTCGAGTGTTTTTCAACTCCCAACGTGTTTATATCAGAGGACAGAGACACAAGCGGCCGTTTTATATTCTTTTATAAAATTTTTCGAGCGAAAAGAAAAATTTTGCCGGTAAGCTGTGTCTCTGTCCTCTGATATAAACACGGTCGTCAGCCAATCAGAGCGCGCGTTATATATCAAAAATTTTATAATAATAAATATAAAACAAGTTCAGTCTAACTGCCACATAACTTTATTATTATCCTACTGAGAAGACATCAAACTTAAATTGATTCATTTGAAGATTTCTCCGTCTTCAAGCTTTTTGCCATCGTAGGACAAATTCTCATCCCATAGGAGATAATCATTGATCTTCTTTTTGTCTTCCTCGTTGTTGATGTCCAATTTTGTCCATTTGTAAGACGGAGCGTCAATGTTCCAGCTGTCATTTAACTAAACAAAAATGAATTTATATGTTAGTATCTAATAATTATTTATACAGGCAGAAATAGCCTTGTTCCTAGGATTGAAAGCAGTGGAATAAACAATCGATTTACACATTAGATTTGGGGCTATTTGGAATTTTAATAATAGTGAAAATACTCTTCATGTAATGTTTAAAGGCCGACAATGAGGACTTGACGGGGTTTCCAAGTCCGCACAATTAGTTCCAGTCCGAGGCGTTAGCCGAGGACTGGAACTAATTGCAAGGACTTTGAAATCCCGTCAAGTCCGAATTGGAGGCCTTTGAACGACTTCAAAAACTCATTAATTATTCGGGAGGGGAAAAAAGCGAAGGAAATACATAACAGAAATATATTGATTTATTTGCATCTCCACTAAGGCTTTCAGTTTTCATAATTTTGAATACATGAAGCACCGTTTGTTGTTCTTCAATTCCCGGACGGCTTTCTGAAACAAAAGCTATTCAAATTGTCTTTGTCTGCTATTCATGGCATTCCTAATGAGCCTAATCCATAAGATTTATAAGTATGTTATCTTCCGAGGAATCGCATCAGAAACTCGGTGGTGTAATGGTATAAGACGGCGCATATAGACTGGACGGTAGGGGATCGAGTCGTGAGGGAGTCATGTATCAAAGACCTTTTTTCACTAAATTAATGTTAAACTGATTATTTCTAATAATTTGATTATCATTAGCTAGTAGTAGTTGGAAACATGGTAGAAGTAACTGGAAATAAGGTAGAAATAGCTGGAAATAATGTAGAAGTAACTTGAAAAAGGTAGAAGTAACTGGAAATAAGGTAGAATACAAGGTACGAGTACTTCCTCTGGTTTCAAGTTACTTCACGTGGTACAAATTACAA